TTCAGTACACCTGGAGATCTTGTTAAAATGCAGATTCTGATCCCCAAGATCTGAGGTGAGGCCCAAGATGCTGCATTTTTGATATGTTTCTGAGTGAAGCTAATGTTGTGGGTCTTTGGACCACACTTTGAGTAGCAAGGGTACAGGATAGATTAGTGGGAGATAAACCTAAACTCAGGGAGACTCGTGGGACTTGCATAATGCTTTAAGTGAGCAATGATGATGACCTTAATTAAGAACTGTCAGTGAAGAAAATAAGGAAATACTTATAGAAATGTTTAAAATCAAAAGGATCAAAGACTGACTGCGTGTGAGGGTGTGATAAAAAGAAAGAACTCAAGGATGATACCAAGTTTCTCACTTGGGAGTCTGGGAGATAGGGATGGGGCTGCTACCAACCAAGATAGGAAATTGAACAGTTCCAAAGATGATTAGTCAGGGTGTGGAGCCTGGGCAGAGACACGTTAACAGAGCAAGGTGAGTGAAATTGGATATGCTATAAGATATCAAGATCTAAGCTAGATTTTAAAATTGTTAAAACAATGAGAGAGAATAAATTCCCTATGTGTTGGCATAGAATGAAAAGAGAAGGAGCCTGAGGGTTGACCCCCTATGATGTATCACTAGCAAGAGAGTAGATGAAAAAGATCTAGATACAGAGGTTGAGAAGCGACAGTTGGGCAGAGCAGGACAGAGTGGTATCTCGAGAACTAAAAGGGCCAAGTTTCAAAGGAGTGGGTGATGATGTCAAGTACATAGAGAAGTCAGGTAAGAGTAGGACTGAGAAACGTCCCATAAGCACATCAAAGTCTCCCTGCCCCTGATCACCACCATGGAGTTGTAGAAAAACCAAAACAAAAGTAACTACACAGAGAAAGACTAAAACATTCTTTCCTAAGCCACTGGAAGATCCCCAACAACTCTTTGAATACTTTAGTTTCCCCATCTGTCTTGCAAATCTAAAACTAAAATCTTCTTAAGCTTAGCCCCAAATTTCTTGCTCTCTTAGGTTTAGTGATTGTATTTTGCCACCTTCCAATGAAGGAACTTGGCAAGGGGAGTTTGCAGAGAGCTATCCCTCAATTTATGAAGTCATCAGCAAAAATCCACATGACAAGTTATGAAAAAGATTGAATGCTTTGCATTCCCTTTGTCAGATTTTCATAATGAGTGGTGGTGATGGTGGTGTGTGTGTGTCTTAGGGCAAGGGGGAGAACCGAAAGGGAGACTGGGGCAGGCAGTGGGGAGGAAAGCCAGGAAGGTGTGGTGTAGCATTGCCAGATAAATACAGGACACTCAGGGAAAATTGAATTTCATATAAACAATGGATAATTTTTAGTATAAGTAAGTGTGTCCAGTGCAAATTTAACTGGGTGTCCTGTATTTTTATTTGCTAAATCAGGCAACCCTAGCATGATGACCATAATACGTTCAGTAATAGGAGCAAAGTAAGGTCTGACTTCCAACTGGGGGCTCTAAATACCTTACGCATTATTGCCTACTAGCATCCTTGAAATAATGAAGTCCCTAGTCACAAGCCAATAAAAAATAATTCTGCACAGAAACCAAAAGGTTATATGAGAAGGTCTCTTAAATAGCCTGTAAGATCTGAGTTTCTATATCCCTATAACCACAGAAAATATTTGAAAAATATACTTATGGAAGACAAGAGAAGCCGCCCACCTCCCATCTCCCCAAATCTAGAATTAGGAGGAAAACCAAGTGCTTACGAGGCTGTAGCTCTTGCCATGGAGTAGCCATACAAACTGTGGACATCATAGTGAAGCCCCCAGTAAAACTCCACATCCATGCAGAGGGTTCCTTCAAAGAGCAAACGGTCCAGAACTCCTGCAGGGAAAAAACCCATCAGTGGGGCAGTTTCCTATCCACCAACTCTAAGAAAATAACCATC